GGACCCCATACGATTTCCCCTTCGCTTTTTCCACAAAAACGAATTCCAGCTTGCCTTCCGGAGACCTGCCGCGAGGTCTGCCCGGGCCGCCACATTCGTGTACTGAACGGGCAGGGTCCAATGATGCCACTTTACGAGTCCCATACAAAACTATGCATACAATGAATACAAAAAAAACATGCAAGACATGCTGTAACTCCTATAACTACAGTATTCCACTGAGTTCCTCTGTTTTGTATGTGAATTTACTATATGTTAAAAATTCCAGCATACATCAGACGAACATGATGAAAGATACCGAACACCAATCGCTTCCAGTCAAGAGCTTGCATGAGAACCATCACGGATAATGTGCAAACAATGATAAAAATACTAGGACTGCTGCGGCGAGTGGCACATCAAGACCCTTATATTCCAGAAGAGTCACATTACTCAATGATTTGATGCTGAGCTCTTCGCTCAAAAGTATTGTTAAGAACTGCGAATCCCTAAAAACTGGATGAACGTCAACACATGTGAACTTCATCATTCTAAAAACCAACATCTTAGCTATCTCAAACCTTTCTTTCGATTTTTCGGCAGCTTTTCGGCATATAATTTCACAAATTCCTCATGACCATGTGTAAGAAAAGCAGCTGCATGCCTTTTCCGGAAGAACCAACCTCTCACAGCCGTCGCGGTCACCAACTTCGGAAGATGCATCTTCGGGGGTAAAACAGATGGAAAAAATGAGAGAAATAAAGAGAGAAGAAAACAGTGGATCATAAGCAGACAAGAGCAACGGATAGGATAGTACCAATATACGCACACCATTCAAATAAATGAGAGAAAACAGACACCTGCGATCTGTTGGAGGAACGATTTTGGCTTAGAAGTGATGGCCAAAGCGAAGATTCTTGAAGAAAACGCAATATTTCAACGTTTGGTCTTACTCTGGCTGATATAAATGGTATGCTCTTGTGGATGGACTACTTACTGCAAAAAAAGGTGCTTCGAGACAGTGAGTCAGTCCTTTCTATCGTGCGTCAAGAACAGCTGTATCACGCTTTCTGTATGTGGCTTTCTACCTGATTTCCCAAGAATTAGAGGACAAGTGTAGATCAGAAAAAGCAAATAGAAAAAACATACATCAAACGAAGAAGAAAAAAGAAAGTTTCTTGGTGCTAATATAGCAAAAGAGTAGGTAGGAACGACAACAACATTAACGAACCTTTCCGCAAGAAGGAAAGCAAAAAAAATTTAGAACGAAATTCACTTCCAAAGTTTATACAGAATAATTTCCCATGACACCTGAATCGGAAACAACAAACAATAACCAATGTAGATTTTATAAAATAAATTAAAATTCATTATTGTGCATGCACAGCCCGTGAAGAAAATTTAACAATCTCTGAAAGACAAAAAAGAGCTTACATTGAAATCAAATGACATGTGAAAATCAATACATCCCGTATTATTTCTACTATACAGCAACTAGTATATTCACCATTCATCTACAACTATATAAAGTGATCCTTATTGATCAACAACTGAAACAACACTATGCGAACGTTCATGCTGTTTTAAAGATGAACCGACTTCTCGGAGCGAAGATATCGTTTTCTTGAACCACCTAAAACAGCTGGTCAGTAACTTGTTTTGATGTTCTCAAAAACAGAAATTGCTGCCTGAAACAGAATTCTAAGAATGATTGATAAGTAAGAAAATGCACGTTTATTTGTCTTCGCAGTCAAACACATCTGCAGCATCCGGATCAGGTTATTTGCAAATGAGAGGGAAAAGCATGTCTCACTACGTACCTCGGATCATTTCGCTCCATATAAGTTTGTGCATGAACCATATACGGTGCGATCCTGGTTAGGACCTCTTTTGCGAAAGGGTAAACGATTGTGCACCTTTTGACATGTTTGCAATTATTTTTGATATTCTTTAACATTACATATACTAAACGAACCTAATTTCCGTTCCATTTCTAAAAATCGGAAATCAAAAATGTGTAAAAAAATTATCTAGAGACGATGTATTCGAGATGCACAACAAAACGAACTGGATCACGTTACGAGGCCGCGCT